GACACTGTGGCTCTGTGGTCTGCAGCATCCCCCACAGCGCTCACCATGCTGAGTCAGCAAGCAAGCTCCCCTGAACACAGAATTGCAAGGTAAAATTAGAAAAGGAAAGAATCCTCCCGATACAGAAGACCATGTAAATACTGATACACACACACACACACACACACACACACACACACATATCACATGTTCCTTCAGTGCTCCTTAAGAATCAACACATTACTAAATTTTGCCTGTGCTAACAACACTTCTATGATCAACCTGTCAACCAAAAATTTCTGGTTAGTGTTAAATTCTGTTTAAAACACAGAGGGCTTATCTATTATGTGGCTTAAGAAGCTGTCTACTACATACCAGAAGCACTTTCAAATTTAAGGCTGATGATTTATTGATGACACAAACATATTTCTGGCTGTTTTTTCAAGATATAAGCCACAAGAAGTATTGTTATGATCACTAGTAGTCACGCCATAATTGACATTAACCAGACTTTGGATTCAAAAGACAGAGAAAATTGGATACTGCTGAAAATTTGATATTGCTGTTTTCATTTAATATATGTGCAATCTCATGTACATAAATGTACAGAAAATCTGTGTGTGTGCATGTGTGTGTGTGTGTATGTTTGTGCATGTGTACATGCTTAGGGTATGCAAAGTAGCAATATAGAATTTTTGCCTTATAAACTTCCTGAATTTAATGAAAACTAAAATGCCCACTTGAATGTACATGTATCTTTGATTGCATGTTTTCACTAGAAAACTTACAAATTAAAATGAGCATACCTCGAAAAGCTATAATATTATAAGCTAATACTGGAGCATTTACTACGTGCCAGGTGTTTTTCTAAGACATCTGCATCTAATAGGTTATTCAATCCTAACAATTCTTTGAGATAGGCACGATTAGATCCTTTTTTAAAAAGATTTTATTTATTTATTTATTTATTTATTTATTTATTTATTTATTTATGAACATGTGAGCAGGGGGAGAAGCAGAGAGAGAGGGAAAAGTAGACTCTGCACTCAGCATGGAGCCCAATGGGGGGCTCGATCCCACAACCCTGAGATCATGACCTGAGCCAAAGTTAAGAGTTAGAGGCTTAACCAACTGGGCCACTCAGGTGCTCCTATATCCTTTCTATAGTTGATGGACTTGAGAAGTTAAGTAACTTGCCAAAGTTCCCACGTTCACACCACTAATAAAGTGTAGAATTGGAAGTCAGACTAATAGTGAGACCCCAGATCTCCTACTCCCAACTCCAGTCTACACTGCTCTCTAATTGCAAACGGACAACATGATCTTTATCCCAATTTCTAATTTGGTAATGAGTGTGAGGAAAAAGTAGATGGTACATGTAAGACTTGAAGCCTCTGAAGCAGTGCAATCAGAGACACTCCATTTCAACTTTCCAAGATCACAAGCTGGCTCCTTCCAAGAATGCTTCCACTGCTGGGTGTCTGGAGAGAAACAGATTGTTGAGCCCATGGGAAGATCATGATGATCTGTGGGGAGGCATTTGAGAAAACAAGGAGCTGCAGTGACATCCTAGCAGGTATAACTTCGTACAGACTAATAAAAAAAAAAAAAAGCTACGTATAAGGTTGATACAGACTATAAGTGAGATCATAATGCTAAGAGTCTTTCTCTGATTGAATTATTTCACTTAGCATAATACCCTCTAGTTCCAACCATGTCATTGCAAATGGCAAGATTTCATTTTTCCTCACTCATACGTGAAATTTAAGAAACAAAACAGAGGGCCACAGGGGAAGAGAGGAAAAAATAGAATAAGACAAAATCAGAGAGGGAGATAAACCATAAGAGACTCTTAATCAGGGCAGCCTGGGGGGCTCAGCGGTTTAGCACCACCTTCAGCCCAGGGCCTGATCCTGGAGACCCAGGATCAAGTCCCAAGTCAAGCTCCCTGCATGGAGCCTGCTTCTCCCTCTGCCTGTGTCTCTGCCTCTCTCTCTCTCTCTCTCTCTCTCTCTCTTTCTCTGTCTCTCATGAATAAATAAACAAATAATCTTAAAAAAAAGAGACTCTTAATCATAGAAAACAGACTGAAGGTTGCTGGATGGGAGGGGGTGGGGGGATGAAGTAACTAACTGGGTGATGGGTATTAACAAGGGCACGTGATGTAATGAGTACTGGGTGTTATATAAAACTGATGAATCACTGACCTCTATCTCTGAAACTAACAATACATTATATATTAATTGAATTTAAATTTAAAAAGTTTTTTAAAAGATTGATACAGCCTGTAGGATAGAAAAGTGAATGTGTGGTACAGTTACTGGTAGAGATATCATATATCTATATTAATAAAGAATTAGAATAAACACGAGTTCAACAGTGATACTATCAGGTTTCAGTGTTGATAAATACAAAGTACTCTCTGGTTCTTTTCACTTAATTATGCGAAAAGCTCTCAGAATTGTCTCCCATGCAAAAGTCAAACCAGTACTACCTTTAAATGTGAGGTGTGGTCACCAGGTCTCAGGAAGACAGTCTAATGTCAAAATAGGTAAACACTGTGTATCGAAGACAAACAAAAAGCAATTGTTTAAGGCATATATTCTATCATTGTCGCCTACATGAAAGTAAATACAAATGGTAGAATGTATATAAGGTGGATGGAAAAACCAGTCCAAAGAACATGAATTAAGAATTATAAGACTTTCCAGTTAGAAATTTAGTGAACAAGTCCAACTTCTGTATTTTATATAAAATAAAACCATGGTCAATAGAATCTAGATTGTGCATGCAGGTGTATCTTCAGCTGTGGGTGTGAAGAACCGCCCCTAGAGAGAATTATGGAGTGAGAAGACATAAAATGGGTATGTAGGACCCTGAAAGCCCTGGGCTCGGAGAAGTGGGCCAATGAAGAGCCCTCCATGAAAGCAGCTGGTTAGAGACAATGGAGCCATAGCAAGAAAGCCAAGAAACGTGAAGTCATGAGAGCCTGGGAGGGAAGGAATTTTAGGAAAGAGTAAGTGGTTGTGCCAAATAGTAAAAAAAAGTTCGAAGAAGACTGGAACTAGGAAACGTTCCTTTAGATTTGTTGGTTATTGATCAGTCATGACCTAGCAAAAGCAGTTTCAGAAACATGACTACAGTGGAAGATTGCCATGTTTTAGGTAACGAATGAAAGGTAAAAACAGTTAAGACAGTAATGCCAGAGCCCACATTCTATAAGTTTGGAAAAGAGAAAAAGATGGTGCAGTGGTCAAAGAAATGCTTAAGGGGAAACTGTTGGTGGAGAATGAGAGAAATAATTGAAGCAGTAAGAGAAACAATTTGAGAGAAGACTAAAGAAATAGGTAGAGTTCAGGCTGATGAAGCTTGATGAAGAGGATGTATGGAGCTTGCTCTGAGACAGTAAAGATAGGAAATAGGTGGCTATACATACAGCTAGTTAGTTCTCTCCACCAAAGTTTAATTTTTATGCTTAACTTTCCCAACCATATGGAATTGATTTTGGTAAATGATCAAAGTTCTAAAAATTCCCTTCTTTTACTGCCTATGGTAAGGTTTGAATGAATGAGTAATAAACAGGGAGCCCCAGGCCTAGACCGTCCACTCACGAAGGACTCAGACAAGCTATTGTTGGCAGCACAGGCTCCCACACAGTCCCTTCCCTTCTTTCTCCATGCACTGGAACCGCTTCCTCATTCTCCAGATCCTTCCACCAGCTACGGAAATTAGGTTCTCACGCCATCGGAAAACACTGAGGAGATTAATGGGGAGGAGTTCAACTATCTTCAATCTTGTGAAGGCTGGCAGTTTTTAAGCCTTGCCAACTATCTATTTTCTTTGTTTGGTTTCTGCCAGAGGCAAGAGTGAGCAGTAAGAAGAAAGGGTGACGCAGAAGAGAGCACTTTTTAGAAAATTAAAAGAAAAAGAGAGAGAGAGAAAGCCTTAGAATAGGGAAGATTTACTGCTGAACTTAAACCAGAGAGCTGGATTAGAAAAGAGAGGTTGGTCACAGAATTAAAAACTACTCATGTGTGTTTATTTAAGATTATGTGGATTACCTATTATATTGGACGACCCAAATGCATTTCCCTCTATACACAGGCTCCTACTAGATATCTGTTTGAGTCTTTTCCTAAACCCAGAGCTCTGTGTGCAAAGTCAATTATGGTTCTTTCCTCCAGTAAGAGATCAAGACAATGTGGTCTAAGAAGCCATGTTGCCCTTAGATTTTAGCAACATCTACTTCAGCAGTATTCTTCAATTATGAAGTCTGAGATACATTTTTCAAAATTGGATTAGATACATTTTCACATCTATAATTTCCCCCTTAATCTTTAAGGTCTTACAAGACTTTTCTTAGGTGAGGAATAAAAAAAAAAAAAAAAAAAGGTCTCTGAATTACTAGTGTAAGCCACAATACGATCATTTAAATTCACTTCAGAGACACTGGCAATAGCTATCTTGCTTGAGGTTGTGAATTCTACATTTTCCCCAATCCTAACCCCTAAATTTTAGAAGTGCTGGGTAATAATGCAATTCTGTTTCTTGAAAGGATATACTCATTCAACAAGGATTTATTAAGCACTCAACACATGCTTGACATTGGGCTGGCTGCTACAAATACCAAGATGAACGAGATACAAAGTTTGCCCCACAGGATCTTGCATAGAGAAAAAAGGAAAACTGTATTTTTTCATTTCCACAATCTGATTTCTTTGGAGGTTTATTTTATACACTTCCTCAGAATACCAAGACCTATGATATATCCATTGCTTTCTGTATTGTTGGCAGAGCTGCTTCATCATCAATAAGCAAAAAAGTACATAAACCTGGTTATGCAAAGTAAAAGTTCTAGATAAAGAGAAAGAGACTTCACCTAAAAGAGCAACACATGAGACTATGAGAAATGCCAACCATCATCCTGTCTAATCCCAGGAGGCAGTATCAAAGACACACGCGCGCGCACACACACACACACACACACACACAGAGTACGAAGACTATAACAAAAAACTTACCTGACTTGCCCACACCTGCTCTCCCAAATATTGCCAGTTTGACCTCTGCACTTTTAGCCATGCCGGGTGTCAGTAAATAATTCACTGTCGTTCAAACTAAAAAGTTGAGAAAATCTTTTTGCTTCCAGCCTTAGGATTCACCATATCCTTGTAAATCTGCAATCCCTGAACAAAAGAGATTTGGAGACTCATAAGTGACTGAAGAAAGGAATTCGTGTTTAGTAAGCACCTTATACACGCCAGCCACCATTCCCTTGATCAACATTTTCCATTTTGATCTCCATCACAATCCTGTGAAAGGGTGACAGTCATTTACTACAAACCAGCCAACTAATAAGTGACAGACTCATGACCTGAACTCAGTTCTCTTTGGTTCTAAAACATATGCATTTTCATACATAATAGCATTATTTAAGTCGTGTTTTTATGAAGGCACTGTTTTTTGGTCACTAACTGATAACAAGTACTTGAAGTATGTGAATACTTGTATTTATCATGCGTCATTAAATACCCAATACACAACTCGTATGATGGGGAGAGTAACATTTGGAATTCTTTCTATTCCATAGGGCTGAATAATATATTTTCATCTTAATCTATCCTACTGTAATGATTGGATTTGTACTTCAAGGTCAAATTTGGGCTCAGTTCACACTAGATCACATGATTGGGTCATGTGACAGGTATACATGTTCCAGGAATTGATATATACTATCTAGTTTATATTTTTATATTTTTCTGGACACAATGCCCCTGGTACACATATTTGATTCCTTTTCTATAACAACTTTAACACTGAACACTGTCCAGTACTTAGGAAATGACATTACATACAATGTAAGCACATTATATAGAGGTGAGTGTTTTAGGAATGACACCTAGGTTCTTAGTACCACGAATACGTGAAGTTGGAAAGAGCCTTGGGGTCAACCGAAGGAATCCTCCAGCCATGGCAAGAATCCTTCCTTAAGATGAGACAACTGGGGCAGCCCAGGTGGCTCAGTGGTCTAGCACCACCTTTAGCCCAGGGCGTGATCCTGGAGACCTGGGATCAAGTCCCATGTCAGGCTCCCTGCATGGAGCCTGCCTCTCCCTCTGCCTGTCTCTGCCTCTCTCTTTCTCTGTCTGTGTCTCTCATGAATAAATAAATAAAATCTTTAAAAAAAAAAAAAAAGATGAGACAACTGTCTTGCGTCTGATTTACCACTTGTGGGAACTTGGGGTCAGTGCTGGTGAGCAGACATCAAGTCAAATTTTTGTTTACATTCATTCAGAAGCCTTCATGTAGCCTAGCAGCTATTAGGACCCTCTGTCCCATCCTAGGCTACTACTTCCTAGGAAAATGAGACCTGGTATTTCCCTTGTTCTTTATGAGCTGTATGGTCTTGTTTTTGACTCTTGACTGCTCTCTCTCTTTTTTTTAATAATAAATTTATTTTTTATTGGTGTTCAATTTGCCAACATACAGAATAACACCCAGTGCTCATCCCGTCAAGTGCCCCCCTCAATGCCCGTCACCCATTCACCCCCACCCCCCACCCTCCTCCCCTTCCACCACCCCTAGTTCATTTCCCAGAGTTAGGAGTCTTTATGTTCTGTCTCCCTTTCTGATATTTCCCACACATTTCTTCTCTCTTCCCTTATATTCCCTTTCACTATTATTTATATTCCCCAAATGAATGAGACCATATAATGTTTGTCCTTCTCCGATTGACTTACTTCACTCAGCATAATACCCTCCAGTTCCATCCACGTTGAAGCAAATGGTGGGTATTTGACATTTCTAATGGCTGAGCAATATTCCTTTGCCTGCTCTCTTTACCACATGCAGCCCTCTTTGCTGGTACTTGTCATGTGATCACCAAAAACATGGCATCCACTGCGTTCACTAGTTGAGATATGACCTGACAAACTAACCTATCAAAATTCATCACGATTCTCTCTATTCTTGGCACTGTGGCTGCACAGCCACTCACAGCAAGACTCACATCTCTCACAGGAACTGGAGACTCCCTCGTTCTGAACTTCAGCAATCAGGGTTTTAAGCCTAAATATAAGACTTCACTCTCATCATGTTAAACTTAATCACATCAGTGATTCATTCATTTCATCCTCTCTTCCTTTTTTTTTTTTTTTTCAGACTGCAAAGATATTTTTGCAACACAAATCTGTTATCTAACGTGTAAACGGCTCCTGCCAGGGTTTTGTCATCTACAACTTTTCAAAAGAGTTTCTCAAAAGAAAGGATAAAGTAAAAATCCTCCTGCGAAAAGTACTCGACAAAGACATTAATGCGTAATTGTTTTTTTCCTGATGTATCTTAGCATGGACTTGGACCTAACTAACTTTGAACTTGCTGATTCCCAAAGGGCCAGAGCTTCCTCTGAAGCATAAAGAGGTCAATATCTAAATTAGCTATTGTTTATCTCACCCCCAATAACAAAAAAAAATTTCTCTGTAATCGCTAATAGTATGAAAACCAGAAGCTTTAACATCTGCAATTTGTCCAGGCCCCTACTTTTGGCTCAAGATAAAAGAATTTCCTTATTTGCCATTTTAATGTATTCATTAAGGAAAGACCCTATGCTTAAACCTCAGAGCCTCATCACAGAAGCATCACAAAAGCAGAATATATTGAGATACATAACTGTATAAATTCTAAATGAGAATGGCAAGCATTTCTTTGAAACATAGACCATGGGAGGGTCTGAAGCTTGTATAAACAGCAATTTGTTATTTCATGCAAAATCGCTCATTCCCATGCACATAAAACCTAAGTCATTATCTATCTGATTTATAGTTCACGAAAGTAGCCATCAAATGTGATTTGTAAAAAAAAACATTTGCTAAGTCAAGTATTTCACTAACTCCCAAATGGCCTCAGCAGTACAGGGATTTCACATAAGAGAGAGAAATGGTGTAGGTTAATTTTTTCACTTATAAAGATCCAGCTGCTTATTGTCAAGCTTATGTTTAGAAAAATCACTTAAAGGAAGACACAAGCTGACATGTATCTTTCAACAGCTTGTTTTTCACATAAAAATGTGAGGTTACATTTGACAAAGATATAAAACAAAGATAAATGTGCAAATTGTTGCAACGAGTGACCTTTTGCCAATTTCTGATGTTCAAAATAGTTTATGATCCAAGATCTTCCATACCATGGGCCTAAAAACATTTGTTTTAATTTATTGTATAGTAATATCCTGGCTGGGTCTAGGAGCTGCCATTGACTTATTATGTGGATGGTGCTTTACTAAGACAGAAACTTCTGAGTTTCTATCGCTCCTAAAACTAAAATCACATGTAAATATTTAAGAGATTTAAGGCATAGTGATTGCCCCCCTCAAAACATAAAAGAACTGAAAGAAAGCTTAGAAAGAAGAAGAAGAAGAAGAAAAAAAAAAGAAGCTAGCCTCCAAATCTTAAGTCATTATTAATACATTCATTGATCATTCCACAATCATGCTAACCACAGACAAACAAAAGTGGCCACCTTCCAGGAGCTTACAATCTGTTACACCTGTGACATTTCGGTCACCAATAACCTGATTTTTTTTTTTTTTTTACATTTATTGAAAGAAAGGATTCATTCATTCATCCCCAAGACTATACTTATCAAAATTTCTGCTTTCCACTTCCTCTTTGGTGGGTGGGGGAGCAAGCAAGCATCTTTGTAAGATAACAGTTTTTCTGACTTCTGTATTTGTCATCAAATAAAGCGCAGCTGTTTAGGCAAGCAAAGCATCTAGCCTGGCGGTGGGAACGAGATCCTCTTCTCCAGCTCTGAGATCAAGTTCTCCTCCTCTCCCTTCCTCAGTTCTCCCTCCTCTTGCAACGCAGCACCCACCGCGACCAGGGTAATGGTGCAACGGCCTGCGGGGACAGCTTTGCTCCAGAAGCAACAGGTCTCCCAGAGGCATCAGCAAGCCCATCGCGGACCGCGGGCCACTCGCTCTCCCCCTGAGAGCCCAGCCCTGCAGCCCGAGTCAAAAGGGCATCGGCTCCGTCTGGCCGGGAGGGCGCTGTCGGGCTCGGGGCGCCGGCGCTCGCTCCGCCCTCCCTCCCGCGAACCCCAGAGCCGTCCTGGTGACCAGGACGGCCGACCCACAGGCCAAGCGTTCGGGGGGAAGGGGGTCCCCCAGGGTGTGCGGGAAGTCGTCCCGAAAGAGCCACCTGGGCACGTGCGTGACACTCACCTGTTCACACTCTGCAGGCCCGGGAGAGCCGCGGTCCCCCGCAAGTTGGGAATCGGCCCCCCGGGACCGCGAAGCCCTGCCCCGCGGCGCAGCCCGGCCTGCGGCTGGCGTTGCCCAGGCTCGGGGCCGCGGGGGCGCGCGGGAGCCGCCGCTGCAGCTGCAGCTGCGAGCGCCGACGGGGCGGCGGGGCCTCGGCGCGGGCGCGGGCGCGGGCGCGGGCGCGGGCGCTCCCGGGACTGGCGGCCGAGGGACTGCGGCAGGACGCGAGCTCAGCCCGGCCGGGCCGCCGCTCCGCCGCCGCCGAGATGCTGCAGTGCGGCGCGGCGGCGCCCCCTGCTGGGGCCGGGGCGCGTTCCTCCCGCGACTCCGGCCCCCCGCCCGCCCGGCGAGACCGCGGCTCCGGCTCCGGCTCCGGCTCCGGCTCCGGCTCCGGCTCCGGCTCCGGCTCCGCGCGCTGCACCCCGGCCGCCTGGGGCGCCTTCCCCGCTCCGCCCGGCCGCCAGGTCCCCCCACGAGGACCTCACTCCTCGCTTGGGACTCTTGGTGTGAAAGCCTCGCTCCCTTCGAAAGCCTCCATTCCTTACTTCCGACGATGCTTACTTACTAAGACCTCCTCCCCTCGAGGCACCCTTAAATTCTCCCCGTGCTACCCAACAGGAAATTGAAAGAGAAGATAAATAACTTGTCCAAGGCTAGTAAATGGTGGCAATGAAATCCAGGCCGGATTGGAAGCTGAGAGATGCTAGGAGCGATCTAAAAGTACTGGATGTAATGGAGGTTTATAGTTATTGTCATTTATAGTTATATATAGTTACAGTGACTAGTATAGTTAACATTATGATACTATATATAGTTATACAATACTATATAGGATAAATAACTAATATAGTTATTTATGGTTATATAAAGTCATAGTTATATATATCCGACAAAGTTCCAAAAGCTTCACCATCTCCTTTCCGTGATGGGCCTTTCTAATGTTTGAATAGGAGTCATACTCCACCATCCTCAGAACCTAACCAAGATGATTAACATTGGTGCTGTTCTAGACCTGCTTTCATCCCTTGTCTCGTTGGATAGTGACACCCTCCCTTGAGCACTAGTATTATAATTATTAGCCTTTCACAGATGAGGAGGTGAGTTTCGGAGAGGTTAAATGATTTCCCAAAGACTATGAAACTTGGGATCAAAGGAGCAGGAAACACGAGGCTATTATTTCATGCCTTCAGATTTGGGGTGTTCTTACCAGGATACTAGGTGGCCTCCAGAAAACCATTGCAATATAGAGCAGACAGGGAGCTAGCACTCAGGGAACATCTGCAGTTCCCTGATGGGAGAGATGTAACCAGGAAGGCAGTTTCCAAGGGCCAGTGCTGACCTGGGAAGCCTCTGCTCTCAGAGTCAAGGGCCAGACTGAATGAAGATGCTGCATGGTGGCACAGGTAGGAATTGCCTAGCTGTTCAGGTGTCATCCTCCCAATCCTTTGAGAATGCACAAATGTTTTATCTTCAATGACTTTCGTGAGGACGAATCTGTTTCCTCTCCACAGCCCACACCTGGATAGGATGAGCCAGTTTTGTGTCCTGTAGCCTGTTATCTGTCCTCATGTGTGCATTGTGCTCGTTTTTATTTGCCTGCTCCATTAAACCTGAACTTCCTGAATGTTGGGATCTATTGTATGTATCTCTGTATTTCCAGCCTCTACCATTGCGCCTGATGCATAATGAATATTCAAGAGACGAGATGTTGAGTGAATGAAAGGAAAGAACCAGTTGTGAGTGGATAGGCTTGATTTTTCTTACATACAGAATTCAGAATGGAATAGCCAGTAAGGAGTTGAATGCCTAATGGGTCTGAAGTTTGGGAAAGAGGCCTGAGACAGAGATTTCATCATCTGGGCATACAGGAAGTCTTTGAAGTCTGGGATGTGGAAAGAATTGTCTAGGTAGATGATATAGAATTTTAAGAGATTCAATTACACAGAATCGTATGGCATTTGTGTTCGGATATAACATGTTACCTTCTTCCCCTATCAAGTTCTGTATTTCTGAATATTTATATTTATTTCTACCAACTTAAGTTGAAATGAACCCTCAGCCCCTCTTACCTAATTGGAGTTTTTTTAAAGTCCCCAAACGAGGCCTTTCTTGAAGCAGTTCTTTGGGATCTTGTCTATGGACACTGTTTCCCTCCATTTTCCCCCTCAGTCAATATGGGCCAGCACTCCTCTGTCAACTAGGGAAGCTTTTGCAGCCATGTTTCCAGTTCTTGATGTACCACACCAAGAGAAATTAAGTAGCTGTATCAGAACTTTAATCCATTGTGTTATATCTTCAGCACATATCCTATATTCAATGGGAGTGTTTCCTTTGTCTCAAAAGCAGCAAAAGGGAGCCACTCCCAATGAAGATGCCTGCTTCAGGGATCAGTAAGAAAGACAGAAGACACTTTGCATTTAATGCTCCTCAATATTTGCCTTACTGGGCAGAAATTCCCTTGGGGAAAGATCTTATCATACTTAAATCCCTTAGACTGGCTGCAGGCTTAAGCTAAAACATCTAACATAAAACTAGTAAGTTGTCAGTATAACCCCCAAACACACAAAAAACTGGAATTGTGTGTGTGTTGTGTAGGTGCTAATCATGCTCATTGCAGAATAATTAAGTAGTAGAAAAAATACAAAGAAATAGAAAGTCACCCCCAAAGTCACACTATCCAGAAATAACTGCTGTTTCCTCAAGAGGGCCATCATTGTTACCATAATAGAACAGAGATGAATGAATATATGTGTTAAATGTCATTACAGCCATGCCAAATGCTATTATGCTATTTTAACAAAAAAATAAATGCCATTTTAATTTAAAAGTACACTTAATAAAGCAGAAGATAAAGAAATTAAAATGAACCTTAAAAGATGGCTGAACTTTAGATGTTTCCTCACCTCACAAGATATTTTATCTTAGGGTTTCTTCTGAGGTTAAAATTACTACACAAAATGAGATCTGAATTCATTGTTTAACCATATACTCATTTCTACTTTTATTTATATGGTTTATTTGTTTTTTAAGATTTTATTTATTTATTCATGAGAGACACAGAGACAGAGGCAGAAACACAGGCAAAGGGAGGAGCAGGCTCCGTGCAGGGGGCCTGATGTAGGACTTGATCCCAGGACCCAGGATCATGACCTGAGTGGAAGGCAGAGGCTCAACCACTGAGCCATCCTGGTGCCATGTAATATAAACTTATATAGTCTATATTTAACCATTTATTTGTTTTAGTCAGTATCATTACTGTTTAAAAAGGAGGAAATTAAACATAAATTTAAAAAAATTAAAAGGAGGAAATTAACTCTCCTATTATGTCTCTCAATTCCCCTTCCTTCTTCCTATATTTTTACTTCTGTATTATTTTTTTATTTTCAAGATTTATAATATTTACCCTTATCCTGCAATTCTAATTCCCAGAGTGATCTCAACTTAGTTGTATATTTAAATGGGATAAACTTACTTAATTATTTTACCAGTTTTTTTACTACATACTTTTTATTTTGATTAATCCCTTCATTTCTTCATTAAGTAATATTTTTAAGAAGGTCTTATAGATGCTGTAGCATGTAATTGAGCATAGCCATCTCTTCCTTTCCTTGTTTTCAACTTATTTTGTAATTACCCTGCATTTGTTTACCACGATCTTTTCCTCTTTTTCTTCCTGTGCAAAGTACTTTTATATTTATTGTATGTTTGTTTTTTAAATCAAATATCATATTGTCTGCGATACATAATAAATGAATTCTAATTCTGTACCTACCTTACCTGAGACCTGTTTTTTTTTCTCTATGGAGCAATGGTTTGAGTACTGAGCATTCCATTTCATCCCCCATCCTAAGATGACAACATCAAGCTAAGAGGAGAGGTCTGAGTTTCTGTGCAGCCTCTGTCAAAGGCTACACGCTCTGCTTTATTAAAGACCCCATACCAAGATTTAGTGCAGGCAGTCAGGATCAGATATCATCCCAAAGAAAAGATTCCCTCAGGCTTGAAATGGCTTAGCCTATTCATTCTTAGAGCCCCTTACTCTCTCCCCTAAGCCATTTCAATGATAAGTGCTCACTCTGTCCCCTCCTCTTGTCAGAAAAGAAAGGATAGTTGTTTAGTTCATTTCACTCCAAATTTAGAGGTGTTCATTCTTGGTGAAAATGATTACCTAGGATTTGATGACTGACTATTACTGCTTCTGGAGAAAGGGCAGTCTATACCATGACCTTTTATTTTTTTAGAGAATTCATTTCAAAGTTTTATGGCAGGAAATCACAATCCTCTCCTTGTTTTGTTGCTGCTAATTATTTTTTACTTAAGGGGGTATTTTATAATTGTTATTATTTATTTAGCAAGATGTTAGTCAAGGGCAAGTCTGATTGTGGCCACAACTAGACTTTCCCTCTGACTGAGAACACTAAAAGCTAACCAAAATGTACAAAATAGCTATTTAGAAGCATTGAAAAACAATGAAGGCTGAGTACCAATCCTGGACAGAGGGAATACCCTTGGGTCTAGCCCCACATTCATCCAAGCTTTCTCCTTGAGGGCATTGGAAGGGCCCTCATGAAAGCAGAATCCAGACCACAGTGAGATCAGAGTTTATGGCTGCTAATGTAGCTGGATTCAAGGTAAAGTGCCACAGAGGATAGCCCATAGAGAGAGAATTCCAGATATTTGCACAGAAATACCTTGGCCATTTCCTGGGCTGTGCATTGTTTGGTGAGTCTCTTGGAGACCTATTAGAAAAGCAGATGCCTGGGGTCTGAAAGTCCTTGGAAGACACTGAAGTTGAGGCTAATCAGAGTTTAGAGTCTTTTCTGAACATACTAGATTTTCAACTGAGGACTCAGAAAGATTATAGGACCACACTTGGGAATAAGGGCAATAATCTAAGGGTAACAGCAAATCTGACCCTCCCCTGAACCGAGATTAAAATGAAGTCTTGACATGGATAAGCTAACATACAAATAAATGTACTGCCTGCCATAACAAAACTCAACACTGTTAAGAAAGATGATATAATCCAGAGCCTCTATAACTATCATCTATAATGTCAGATGCTCTGTATTAGTCTGCTGGGGCTGCCATAACAAAATACCACAGACTGCATAACTTAAACAACAGAAATTTATTTCTCACAGTTCTGGAAGCTGGGAAATCCAAGA